GGGGGGGGGGGGGGGGGGGGGGGGGGGGGGGGGGGGGGATTCGGAGCGCAGTCGGCGCGGTGTTTTTGATCAGCAGCGGACAAGGAGGGAAGAGGCAGGATATCTGGTCATGCCACGTAGCACAGCAGGTTCGAGGCTCGGGTTTAATCGCCGAGGTTTTGTTGTGATACTGTACTTGGTTGATTTTGACCTGGCAGCAGTCCGACAGCAGATCGGGTGTGCCGTCGCGTCTTGTCTAACGGCTTGGAAGGTGCTGGTCCGGTTGGTGCAGAGATTGAATTTTTCTGGCTGACGTGTAGCGACACTAGGATCTACGGTGGAAGGCTTTGATCGGATCACTCCAGCAGGAGCCGGCGGAAATAAGCACTGGTCGTATGTTACATGCAGCCTCCAGCCCCATCAAAACGAACAAAACAACTGGCGCAACATCACAATACCACGAGCATAACGCCGCTGCTACCAAGGCAACACGCTAGGATGTGCTTTCACAATCCACCACTTGAGCACTACAGTAGTCTCTCTCTACATAACCTATCAGCCCTGCATAACACCACGGACACGCTACCCTTCCCATACCTGTCCAAGCCCTTCGTGAAAGCTTCCTTCCGGCCCCTTTCCCGCCCACGGGTGATCACCACCGCCGGGCTCGTCTCGCCCCTCTACAACGGCCGCCCACTGTGCGTCACCCACACTCTGGCTGTTGCTGGCCGTAGCATCGACGGCAACTTTCTTTTCCCCCGCATGGCGCGTCGAATCCCAGCCGCAGACGTACAAGATCGCTGCTGCCGACGCCATCCCGCCAAGGAGTGGCCGCAGGATCGACTGACGACCGGGGTGGCGGGAAAGGTAGCCACCGCTACCTCGGCGGGCAGGGCGGGTACCCTGCGGGGGTGGGGTGGTGGGGGCGTGCAGCAAGTTCGATCTCACGGTGGTGAGGAAGCCGTTGCTTCGTCGATGCATCTCAGTCATGGTTGTCGATGTTGTGGTGGTGATGGATGTTTTGGTGGTGATGATTGTTGTGGGTGGTGATTGTTGTTTCCATGCTGAAGTCAAGACATCCTTTGTCTGGCAAGGAGCTCGGCACGCTCCGATTTCTTTGGAAGAACTGCTGTCGCCCCTCGGCTAATGACTGACTGCTGTACTTACTACGGATGTAGGAGGGTTAACACGAATACTCTTCATGTCAAAGAATGTGAGATCTTTCGTCAGGCATGGTGAGAGAGAGCAGTATTAGTGGTGTGATAGGGTGCCAAGTATTGGCGAGAGAAAGAAGGCACGGCTGCGTACCGCCCTGCCAGCGGGTGGAATTGGGGGAATGATGGGAGCCATACCTGACATAGCCGTACCCACCACACCCGCCATTCTCTTAGCACACAGTTGCTCAGGCACCAACAGGAAGCATGCACAAATGTGTGTACCTCGTGAATCGAGTGAGATAAACTACACAAGTACAGGGAGAACAGCAGGGCCGCTCTGCACACTCCGTTGTACGTAGTCAGGATAATGTGCACGATTAGGCCTCGGTTTGAAAATATTCTACTCCCTCACCGTGCGTCCCTTGGTTCGCCAATCCCTCGCGGAAAGCGGTTTGGACCGAAAGCTCATCGGATAAGGGCATACGAGACTCGGCGGTGATCGCACCCGTGCCTTTCCCGAGTGTCTTCCGACGAGACGTGGGTGGTCCCGCCGAAGTAACCGAAGCAGATACCGAACCTCTGAGCGAACCATTTGCGAACCAGGTTCTACTGCTGTACGCTGTGCAGCAGTAGATGGTTTTACGGATTGCAGTGATTACTGGCACGTACCCCCGCCCCTTCCTTTGGCCGTCGACCTGCCTCCATGTAGTGGGAGGCTACCCCCCCAGGCTGGTGGTGCGGCCGTTCCACTAGTCTAATTATTTATTTCATTTTATTTTATTTGTTTCTGATTATTATATTTTGTTTTCTTGTATTTTATCGCTCTGCTGACCCTTGGGGTCCATTTTATTTTGGTATACCTTTTCTAGGTACGTTAGCCTGTGACCACGGAAATTGGCCGAGTCAAGTGATGGATTAGTACGGAGAGATTGAGACAGAAGGAGGTACTGGATAGAGAGACCGGGATGGTTTTTAATGTGGAGACAACAACAACAACAAAGCTCGCGGATTGGGCGTGACGTTTTTGGGTAGGGCTCCATTTTGGTAACGCAAGCCAATCACAGACCCCCATTTAGAACCACTTTTGGTAACGCAAGCCAATCACAAACCACCATTTTTGGTAACGCAAACGCAGACCACACCAACCCACACGCTGGCAGCCTTGCCGACGGGGGGGGGTCAATAGCGCCGCACCGTCCCAGACCGTCCACATAATCAGCGAGTGCGACCTGAGTTCTTGACGTATCGCTCCCATCAAGGGCTCCGACGAACCCTATGGTGAAGGGTTTGCTGTTCTGCTCGCTGGTTGTTGGTTGTCGGTCGGGACACGAGCGTTCAAAAAATCATTTCGCATCACACCAAACGTTGTTGTTGTTGTTGTTGTCTTCACATTAAAAACCATCCCGGTCTCTCTATCCAGTACCTCCTTCTGTCTCAATCTCTCCGTACTAATCCATCACTTGACTCGGCCAATTTCCGTGGTCACAGGCTAACGTACCTANGGTAACGCAAGCCAATCACAGACCCCCATTTAGAACCACTTTTGGTAACGCAAGCCAATCACAAACCACCATTTTTGGTAACGCAAACGCAGACCACACCAACCCACACGCTGGCAGCCTTGCCGACGGGGGGGGGTCAATAGCGCCGCACCGTCCCAGACCGTCCACATAATCAGCGAGTGCGACCTGAGTTCTTGACGTATCGCTCCCATCAAGGGCTCC